TGGAAGTCTTGACAGCAAGGTAATAAGATTGATATCTGAGGACTTAAAAGAGATAGGATAGAAGTGAAATCACAGCATGCTTGAAAGGCAACAGATGTATGGCACACAGATTCAAGATACCAGTCGCAAATAACATACTTTAAAAATATGTATTAGCACTTGTTCCAGGTCTATCTTCATCCTGTTGAAAAGAAGAAATAATCGCTGGTCATGTCCAAGATCACCACAGAAGTTTCATGTAAACACATGATAATTAGCGGTACAATCTGACCACTGTAACCCCAAGCCTGAACTGAACATATCAGCACATATCAGCTACAGCAACATCCTGATTTTCACATTACTGGACATCACACACACAGAGAGAAATGTGGTTTTAACTATGTACTCTAACCAGCTTTAACATTACATGTGGTTGATTGAGATAAACAAGATACCTATGTATCCAACACGAAAGCTCAAAAATAGCTACATTTTACAAAAACACATTCATTTAAACTACCTCACGAACGACTAGCTAACGTTAGTAGAACCTAAACGCAGGTAGTGACAGTTCCTTAGCAAATTAACTCCGGCTAATATCACCTTTCATGGTTTATATCTGCTGGCCCCACTGCTCTACTAATATGAGCTGAAGGAAAGGCCTTTGTGGCATTCAAATACTAAGAAACAGTGTAGCGACGTTAGGTGTGTTTTAATTTCAAACTGTTTCCTCTTACCCTGTCATGCCGAAAACTCAGCCTGAACCGGGCAGTTTCTCTGAAGGAGGCAACATGACCGAGTCCATCCAAATAAAACGCGTTAGCAGGAGGCCCGGTCTTCAGCTACAGCCATTCTAATAACACGGGCAAAACAAAAAGCTCGATAAAAGTGTTTGCTGTCGCAGGTGTCGGTTAGCAAAACTGACGGTACGAGCGAGGAGGCCGACAAAGCATATAAACCAGCTAACTTCCGGTTGTAGCAATAAAAATAAAAGCTTAACCTGCAAACGTGAAGCGACTTGCTGGAACTCGACAAAAACAAAAAAGAAAAAAAAAATAATCAAGAATACAGTCCATGTTGAAATCGTTAAAAAGGATAGAGATTAAGCTAATTTAATCATTCAAATGCTTATAAAATATATAAAATAATGTAATGTAAGGTAATGTAATGTAAAGTAATGTTGCTAAATTCAAAAATACCAATACACATCATGACTCATTTAATTTTTCTGTCACTATTTGCTATATTAATGTGCATTTTTATATTAACAAGCAAGATGAGGAAATGTATCTTAATTTTTAAAAAATCTAATCTTTTAATTTCTAACTGAAAGAAGAACAACATTTTAAAAACAATTGTTAACATTTTTGTTTAGCCACATATCTTTAACAGCTAGCTACTTGCCAGAATTTTCATATTTATTTTATGAGCTGTCGAGCTCATTTAACATCACAGGGCACGAACAGCCAATTTGAACTAGAAATTGACAATAAATTGTGAAGAAAAACTTTATTGTTCATATATTATTTAATTATTTTGTCTTAAGGGACAGCTTTATAAATGGGGAAAACGGTAAAAGCTATGAAAATACAATGTACAGTCTGAAATGTATGCCCTCTATCACATATTCCAAAGCAGTCCAGTGGGCCAGACTGTAATTTTCGTAGGGCCGATTCTGGCCCCTGGGCCAGCAGCAGACAAAATTAGCGCCACCTAGACCAGCTACACTTAAACGCCTTAAACGGATCTAAGAAAACAAACAAAAAAATCTAAGGTCCTAATAAATTACATAAAATTATGTTTAAAACTGTGTTTAAAAATTTAGTACAGAAGAAACTTAGTGACCTTCTGGTTATATGGCACCCTGCATAAAAGAAAAATACAAAAAACACAAAACAAAACAAAACAGAAAAAACTGTGGGGAGATTAGTGAGGTATTGAAGAGCGCGTTTATACTTTTACTTTGAAGGTACAGTTCGGGTGTTTCCGCTTTCACAGCGAGGTTTCTTTCAGCTCAGACATCCATAAATGAACGCTAGATTTTCGCTCTTTATCTACAATCTGTTTGTAGAGCCTGGGCGGGCTGAATGAGGTCATCACTTGAACTTTGTTAAATGACAGAAAGTATGTGGACACCTTAACATTACACCAGCATAGGATTATTGGACTCTAGCTCCAGCTACTTTTAAAACCCACAAGATTTTGGATTTTCTCCATCCCAGCTATGCTAGGTGAAGAGTTGGCCCTCCAGTTCATCTTTTATGTGTTGGATTTGGTTAAAGTCAGGGATTCACTAGAGGCCATTTTTCCATTTTGGGGAACTTGATATACACCACCAGAGCAACATCTGACATGAGTTCCTTGTGGGGGATCCTGCTTTACAACATCACATCAAGGTTTGAGTATTGCTTCAGTTTAGTCATGTGTAGCAGAACTACATTTGGGAATCACTGGACACCTCATGATATGAAATTATCACAATACGTCACTCTACATCCAATATTTTTTGCCATTTTTAACATTTTGCAATTTTTCACCTTTTTACAAGTCTGTTTGCAGAAATGTTGCCACCTGTCAGATGACCTGTGCAATGTTTGTAAGTGTGCAACACTGACATCTGAACGAATTGCAATCAGTTGCAGAATATGAAAAAATTCAATACAATCAAAAGGCAGCCACACTTTTTTCTTGTAGATGTCCTATTTTACTTATGCGACTGAGCCATTAGCTTTCCTTGAAGTAGGAGGTAGCTTTGTCAAGTCTAAGTGTCCGCTCTTGGATGTTTTTCGGTTGAGTCGATTTCATGCAAGAGAGATGAGCCCTCTTGTCTGCAGTTTCCAGAATGTTGATATACTGGCATGCAAAATACCATGACGCTATGCTGTATCCGTTCCTCCCAATCAAAACTGCTACAGGTAAAAAATTTTAGTGCAACAAAAACTTTTCTTCAGCATTTTTTGCTTCGTGTGATCCATGCCCTGCATCCTGTTTGGTTAAAATGTATTCAGGACCATATATAACAATTTTTAAAACTCTAACCAAGTAGAGTTGTGTGCTGCTGTCAACATATTAAATAAATCCACACTTTTAACTGTTAAAGGTCATTTATTTGCCCAAATACTTGAACTACAAGGACATAAGAACACCCTCAGCTATATAAAACATCAAATTCTGTCAATTTGTCAGCAGTACAAACTTGTAAAGCTTTGCTGTTTTAGATATCTCTATAAACCAACATAAGGGAGAGAAGAAACAACTAAAACAGGCGAATTTAACCAAAAATTCTCCCCCGTGAGTGAAAGACTCACTGGCCTTTGAAACCACAGATGAGGGCTTGCCAAAATAAAAGTACTAACAAAACAATAAGCACTCGATACAAAAACAGTATTTACAGAAAATTACAGTTGCTTTTTTTTTTTTGTCTTTTTTAACCCCAAGTCCACTGGCAACTCAGTTTCCTAATTCCCTTTTACAAACTTTCATCATTCAAAAAGGAAATGCTTTGCTTTTCCCTCCCCCAGTTATTTAAATAGTCCACGCTGGTTTTATTTCAGTCTGTGATGAGATTTAAAATGGTCAAAATAAACCCATTATTAACAGATTATTAATAGTTGCCATGTACTTAATCTGTCTGGAGACCCAAAAACACAGTCACATAAGCCCATTTTTAAGTTTTCAATGACATGACCACAAAGACCTTTGGAGAAAAAAAATAAAAATTAAAAGATTTAACAATATCTACATTCATGGTGTTGGTATGATGTCCCCGCACAGGCACATACATGCACACTGCTGTCACATCATGGTATGCAACTAAACGGCAAAAACAACACACATTAAAGCAAAGAAACACGCAAACGCCCTCATATATACAAAGTTCTGTGCATGCATGCACACAAACTCACACAGAGGGACAGATTTACAATAAGTGCACGCTTTTTTTGGGATAAGCATCAGAACAGAACCCATGTGGATTACAGTCAATACTATTAAAACTCGGAAATAAAAATGGACGAGTCCATTCAGCTCAACACCCACGACGAGTCCAGATAGATCAAAACACAACTGCTCACAATTAAAAACAAACCTGGTAGCAAATCGCAATTGAACTGTAAATGAAATGGAAAGCAACAGTTCTGAAGAAAAAGAAAAGAAGCATATTTAACGTTGCTTTTAAAAACAGAGTCAGACTGAGCTTTAAATATGGACAAGTGCTGCAATTAATAATTACAACCTGCTCAATGAACTGAGTAAGAACTGTTAAGACTGATCGACTACAACAAGTCAGTTTGGATAAATGAGATTTTTCAGTGACAGACACATGGCAATGTGCAATGTCCTGGAAAGTATTCAACCCCCATTGGACCTTTATGTTTTATACTGGAACCATAACGGCTAATCCGGCTTTATAACTCTTTTACGGCCAAGTTAAAACAATCCCTATAAACCAATCTAAATTAAGTCCCAATATAAAACTAAACTGTTTACACAGTTTGACACTACGTTCTAAATCTGGAAGCCCAAACAGCTAGGTAGACATGAAAAGCACCAGCATGCAATCACAGTCTTCTGTTTTAGATTCGTGTTTAATCTAGATAGAATCTAGCTGAGGGAATATTCCATCACGCCAAGGCTTAGATGAAGTCGATGTCAGTTCTGTGTTGAAAAGCTTTACAACACACCCCAAAAGATGCAGTCTTTTAAAGTCCAATAAATGTTGCTATGCCTCCTTACATCCCGATGTGTGTGAAAAGGTCCAATTGAATCTTTGTAATGTTGAAAAGCAATAAAACATGAAAAATCCAAGGATTGAATACTTTATAGGCAGTGTAAATTTCAAATGAAAAAACATGGGTATGTAACAAACTCTCAAATTTTCCAGCGACAAAAAAAAAGAAAGACATTCATAATGGCTTGATTTTTTTTTTTGTTTTTCCTGAAAAAAATACCACCTCTTTAAGAACCAAATCATAAAATCTACATCGTAAGTCGAGGACAACACAACAATGTTGTGAAAAAAAAAAAAAAAAAAAAAAAAAAGATTAAACGAAAATTTTTTGTAGAGTGCAATTTTCCAGTACCCCGCATACCCTCCCCCCTGCCCACCTTCAGGTGATCCACCGTACTGTGTTCTTTGGCTCAGCCTGTTCACAACTCAAGCCACCTGTCCTTAACTAATCATCGGAATAACAAAAATAAAAGACTGAACGGGTAATCAATTACCCAACACATTAAAACTCTAACCTTAAACCACTGAAGCTGCAAGTCAAGATTGAAACCAGTGCAGAAATGTTCATGACATCACCAAACCAGTGGGATGCTGTTTTTGGCATACTGTCAGTGGCCCGTGCTGTGAGATGACTACTGCGCTGGGGATGGAATTGAACTGATTTCCAGATAGGGGCAGGGTCTCTCCTTCTGTACAGATCGCCAGCGCAGCAACATAAAGTGGGTGAGTGTGAAATGGATGAGGCAATGCAGGGGCTCCCTCTGGTGGTGGGAGGAGAGCAGGGTTGGCACAGTGGCAGAGCTCCCTGGACTCTTGGCTCAGCTCAGCGCTGCTCAGTTTGTCAGTGATGGCGCGTTTCAGTCTGAATCAGAGTCTGACGACCCCTGTGAGTTCGACTCACTGCTGCTGTCCTCCGACTTGTTCTCCTTGTCGTCTGCTTCGTCGTCCTCTTCGTCGTCTTCATCGTCGTCGTCCTCCTCCTTCTTTAAACAAAAAGAAATATATACACGCATTTTCAGCAAAAACTCAAAACCACTGGTTGCAACTATCTCATGTATCTGAGCAGAGAAAACACTCACGTCATCATCATCCTCATCGTCCTCACTGGAAGAGTCGCCTTCACTGGAAGCTTTCTCCTGCTCATCGTCGTCGTCATCCTCCTCATCGTCGTCATCATCCTCGTCCTCCTCCGTATCCTGCAACAAGTGATCCCCCCCCTTTCAGATAATGCTAATAACATGACTATAAAAAATTAAAGTTTCTGCTCAACTCAGCTCCAAGACAGCAAACAAAGAAATAAGTCTGTACTCACAGATTTCTTGGCCTTTGCCTTGGGGCCTCCTGGTTTTGCTGTAGTTCTTCTTTTCTGAATGATTTGCGAAATAATAGATCATTAAAATATATCAAAAACAGATATTGCAATTTCAGCTGTTTGTAAATGCTAGCTGTTACAAATCAAAAACATTCCTTACTTGTGAATTATATTCTTTGTAAGTGTTTCTCTCTTGCGAAGACAAACTCTGTGGAAAGACGGAAATAGATTTTTCCAAATGTCTCAAAAACATCTTGCCTCCCTCCCCCCCACCCCCATCCATTAAATTCTTCTTACAGCGAGCCACTGTTCCAGTTGGACTTTGTACTGCCTTTGCTTCTCCTCAGCAATCTTCTTGTAGCGGTCCTTTTCCTTCAGTGGTAACCTCTGCCAGCGGCTGCCAATCTCAGCCATCCGCTCTTTCATTGGGAGATGATTCAGCTCTCCATTGGACAGCATCTCCTGAGAGAACTTCTGATATCCATTTCTAGAGTCAAAGTAAAAGGAGAAAAAAAAAAGAAGTCAGGCCTTCGAATCGGCTAAATCAGGCAGCACAGATGAGCTGAATGTCGCAAACTTACGATGGCGGTTTCTTGGGTTCACCCTCAAATTTCATCTTCTTCCCTGAGGCAATGGCAGCAGCAGGCGAGCGCATCTCACTTACTTCTCTCTGTTGAGGACAGGTAAAATCAACATTTAGCTCTCACTGGTTTCATATAGAGAAACAGGAGATTTTATTGAGACTGTGTCCTAACCTCATATCTTTTCTGGTCTTCTGCTGCCTTTTTGATCCACATAATCTTCTCTTTTTTCTCCATGGTGCTCCAGGTTCCTTCCATTGCTTTCTGTGCCTTTGGCCGGTCGTTCTGCAAACCACATACAGGCATTAAATCCATTCCCGGGTATGTTATCTGTGTTTCCAGCACTCTGTCATCAACAGCATTACACATCTGTAGCTCATTGTTAACATCAGCATGATTATTAAGTAAATTTCTATTCACAAAAAGATTTGCTATTATACTGAATAATGTGGGCTAAAATACAACAGCTAGTTTGTGGATACCTTAAATCTGGCCAGGTAGTCGCCTATAACACTCTGCTGCCAGATGTCTTGTGCATTTTTGGGCGGATCTGGGAGTCGACTGCGGTCCTCTTTTTCCTTCTTCTCCGATTCTGCCTTCAACACCGATTCTAAGCGCTTAAACTTCTCCTAAATCATTAGAGAAATCCAGCACATCACGAAATAATTGAAAAATCCCAATTTCAGAATAACCTTTGACCTTGAAAGTCTACCGATTCGGCATTTCTGTTCCATAAACTAACACGTTACCTTCTTCTTATCTGGCAGCTCGTTCCACATGCGAGCAAGAAGTCTTGTGATCTCACTGTCAGCGAGGTCTGGCCGCTCCTGCTGCAGTTTGGGACGTTTCTCCTCAGCAAATATGAACATGGCTGAAATGGGTCTTTTGGGTTTTTCTGGATTTGCCTGCAAGTTCCACGTGAGAATATCAGAATAATACATGAAAGCATCTATGTAAATAGAAATCTAACTGTAAAGCACACCTGAATTTAAAATTCTTATTAAAATGTTATTGTATTACGCTGCAGTTTTCTCTTTCTGTACCTCTGAAAAACAGACCGATTGGCTCTCAACAGTTTCGCACAAATATATTTTCCTTGCCTTTATACCTTTGCGTGTTAGGTGAACATGTAAACAGCTACACTATATATCAGAAAATAACACGGAACAAAATCTGACTCGAGGACACATTGCATTGCTACACTGACAAGTTGTGTTTTTCTTAAATGACTGCATCATTATCAAATACATAAAAAGTTGCTGTATTCTGGGACATACGTTTGCTTTAGAGTTTTTCTTTTTAGATGCGGGACTATTGGCTCCAGTGCTTTTCTTAAAACCAGTCTTCGCCTCACCCAAGACCCGCTGCTGCTCCTCCTCTGATATACTCTACAGATGCACAGCAAATAAACCACACATAAGAAACACTTCCAGTAAAAACAAAACATGTAAACAATGTTTGAGACTTACACTGAGAAATCTGTTCATCTCAATTTCATACTCTTTTTTCCTCTGAAAGAAAAAAAGACAAAAAAAAAAAAAAAAAAAAAATGTGACAATTTAGATAAACTTGCTTTATTTATTGACTTTTTCCTCTCAGTTATTCATGATTCTCAAGTCACCTGTTCGCAGCGTTTTTGGTAGGCGTCCTTTTCACCCTGCTTTAGCAGCTTCCACCGCTGACTACACATCACCATACGCTCTGTGCTGGGAACGTCCTTCATGCTCGACATTAGCTCCGCACAGAACATCGAGTAACCGTTTCTGAAAGCATTCAAACACCACATGTTAAAACCAAATATCTCGCAAGGGCAGTGACCTACAAAAATCCCCTCCCTCAGATGTATCAGGAGAGTATTTGTAGCCGTGACTCACGGAGGAGGTTTGTCAGGACGGCCGTCAGATTTGTCCTTCAGGTGCCTCTCTGCCTTGGTCAGGGTGGACTTTACGATGTCTTCCTGAGTCATATTTAACTCCGGATGCTGTTGGATGTATTCACGCATCGTCTCCTGGAAGATCGCAAAAAATCCTCAGTTAAAAATGATTTTCTTTTGTCATCTTTTGTCATCTAAGGCAACCACACACTGATTCTTGTCTCACCTCATACTGCTTCTGCTGTTCCAGCGACTTGGTGATCCATTTGAGCCTCTTTTTGTCAGAAAGCTGCGTCCACTGTTTGCCAAGACTATCTTTGATGTCTTTGGTGGTCGCCTGGGTGAGACACAGAAAAAGTTAAAATCTCTGAAAGCGGCTAAAAGTTGCATTCTGTTTGTTGCGCAGCTAAACTCACATCAGGGTGCAGCTTGAGGAAGGCCTTCTTTTCGTGGTTGTACCACAACTGTTGGGGCGTCTTGGGCTTTTCTGGTACATTTGAGCCTTTTTTGGCCATGCTCTCCACCAGGTCTGGATGCTCTTCCCTGTTTAGGCATCATAAAAAACGTATTAAACAGGTATTATGCATTTTAGGCTTATGTGTTATGACTAGTTTAAAAAAATAAAGCAGTAAATCATCTCACCTGAACTTCATCATACTTTGAACAAATGTTTCCTTATCTCGTAAGAAGTCGTCAACATATTTTTTCTGTAGTTATGAAAATAAACGTTATTTTTCCAAGGATATTTTTTAGGAAAAAAAACAAAAGAACATGATGGTCAAAACAGTGGTGTTCGTCTTTGACTGACCTTCTTTTTATCAGGCAGCTCCCGATACTTCTTAGATAGGATTTTAGTGAGGTCCAGGTTGCTCATCTCAGGGTGCAGCTTTGCATACTTGGCCCTCTTCTCCATAAAGAAACGGAAGTATGGAGTCAAAGGCTTCTTGGGGAAATCTGGGTGTTTCTGCATTTGTGGGAGGGAAAGGGGACGGAATTACTTAAGCCTTGAACTCCACTAACACAACTGGTAGGCCATAAAATCATGTGAATGTTGACTTGAATTCACCTTTATTTTCTTGCCCTTGTATGGGTTCTTTATGTAGTCTTGAGCATCAACTATCAATTCTGTCAGGGTCCTGAATTTACGAATCTGCGTTTGGCAGAAAAACAAAACGGAGAAACTCAGAAGACTTGACTTAACAGAACAATCTGACTTGGAGAAAAATCTATACAAATCAACTCACCTCTTTCGACACCTCCTGCCATTTCTGCTTGCACATCTCAGCTGTGTAGGAATTGAAAGCAACTTTCTGCCAGTCCAGGTGGGACTCTGATGTTTTGTATTTAGTCAGGTCTTTCTGTGGAAGAGCCACTTTCATGGCCTCCAGCAGTCTTAAAAGGTCATCCTGCGCCCATACTGTGAAAATGTTAAAAGAGAGAGAGAGAAAAAAAGACATAAAAATCACAAAGGAAAAAACACAGATCTGCCCAAAATGTCTTCAAATTATACATCCTTTTGTGTATTCTGACAAGAAAAAAAAAATTACTATTCTATTCTTACTATTGGTAAACCATATATTCTAATCTAATCGGAATCAAACATTCAGTTTTAATTGCTGTGATTCTTAGAAGAACTAGTACATTAATCAAGTTTAATACTAAGGTCTTAATATACAAGGTTATGTAAAGTGCTGCCTTGCCATGATTAATCTACATATCAACTCTGTTCAGAAAAACTTGATTTAGCAAAAAACCCACCTTGGTCTTGTGTCGTTGCCTCCATTTCTCCATTCATTTGCGGATATTCTGTCTTGGATCTGCGAGAAAAAAAAATCCCACAAGATTATTTAAAAGCATATCTTTTATATATCGACTTCAATCAAGAACCAATCAGCAGTTTATAATATACACATTCGTGTATATTACCTTTAACCAGTTCGTGATCTTTAAAAATAGTAAATAATGTTATTTTGTTTTATTTGTATAAATGGGCTTAATTACCAATTAATGTGGCTAATTCTTCATATAAAAGTAATAATGACGAGTCAAAGTCGTTAAATTTAAATTTGGCTCGACATAATGGTTTATGTTCATTACACCGCCCCTTAAACGTTTACGCTACATGGTGAGACATAGGCTATTGCTTGTGACGGCTTCAAATCTCAAATAACACTGCGGAGGGCTTCAACTAGCACATCTAGCTACGACAACAGGAGTCTCCGTCGAGCAAATTTTGCCAACCGGAATTTGGCGTATTAGTACTGTCCTTATTCCACAACAAAAGTATCGTGGACACACAGGAGCGACCATTTTCTCGCCTGGTCCGCTCAGTAATGGAGGATTTTCTGTCGGAGCTGAGGTTGGGGAGGATCCACGGAAGGAGGAAGCGAATGGACGTGGACGGACGGGCAGCTGTAGGCGACCAGCTGACCACGGACGAGGGATCTGCTTTCGGTCTCCGAGAAAGGGGAATGGTAGCTTGGAAGCACTGCAGCCAAATGCGCCACTCGACAGAGGCGCCTCATCACCGTTGGGCGCTGATCTAGCTCCGCCACGCAAAACCTATAATCTTCTCCTCGTAGTGTTAACTGAGACCGGAGCGATGAAATCGAAAATAACATTCGTTTACAGTAAATAAATGTGTTTTAAGGTTATCTGCAGGCCGTTTTTATTCACGTTTCAGGCGTTTCAGAGTGGGATTTGCTAGCAAAATCCAGAGCATTCTTCAGCGAGGCGTAACCGAGCTGTGTTCCAATGATGGCGGCTGCTCGTTGTTCATCTTGTCCTTGATGGCCCCAGCTCAATGTGGTGTCAACCGTGTGACCTAGCTACATTTAAACGATCGATTTCACCATTTATGTAACTAAATAACCTCCACATTGTATATAAGAAACTCTTGAAACATAAAATCTACCTTAAATTTAATTATTATGACAATATGCGTGATATAAATTTGAGTGTTGAGGCATTACACGAGCAAGGACGATTTGACACACCGAATGCGGCTAAAATTGGGACATTTTCTTTTAAATATTATTAGCTATGCCTTTTTAAAGGTTATTTAATACAAGGCTTTGGGCTTTTTGGCATCTAAGAACAATTTCGTGTCCTGCACAGTAGACCTGGACCACATTAACATTAGCTGCTGTTTACAACCAATCATCTAAATCACGTAACGGTTTTTATTTAGCTGCCTTTAATTAAAAAAAAAGCAGCTAATTTAAATGGTGGACAGCGTAGATGGATTAGTAACAAATTGTAGAAATGCCCGTAAATATCGTGGTGGCTGGAAAGTCTTGCGGAGGCTCAGGAAGAAAGAAGAAAACGGAAAATGTTTTTTTACGGGCAAATGTTATCGCGTCAAACTGATTTTTTTTTTTAAACCACGATTCAGTTTTAACCGTAGCTGCTTACAGTTCTGGTTGCAGTATTGTAGCATTAAACGGCATCTAAAATGGTTAGCTAAAGCTCCGAGGAAACATGTTAACAAACCGCGGCTGAGTAGCTTCTCTGGCGCGACAAACAGCTCCAGGTCCGCCATGCTTCAGCTCTGCTCTACAAGGAAACCTACCGTGACAAGGTCCAATGGCGCACTGCAAACACAGAGAAACGGAGCTTAAAACTAAAACCAGGGCGTCGCAGACTCCCTTCCCTCGATCCAAAAGCGTTTAAGCGAGGGCAAGAAGGCGGGTTCTCCGAGCTCGGTCGTCGGAGGTTCTGGGCTAGCCAGTGAGAGAGAGGGGGAGAGAGAGGGCGAGTCTCTGCACGGTGAGATATTAAACTGAGATCCCTGATGGCTAACCGAGAGAGGCGGCTGGCTGTTCCGCCAACAGCCGCATGGAGGTCTCGGCGCGGAAACCACCGTTTATTCTCCTACGCAAATACTCCCTGTATAGCAGAAGCAGGCGAGTTTCGATGAAGGGGTTAGCTCAAACTAGTCCTTTTTCGTGTTATTTTGAAAATAAATTTATCACGTTTACCCCGGGGTCTTACATCCAGTTCCTTCCCCGCTGTTTGGGACAAGAAATTCGGGTATGGCGGCCGTCGTCTGTACCCTACCACCGTCGGTTTATTTCGCTACTACAAAGAAGCTGCCGACCGAGGCGCTTTACGAGAAAACAAAAACATGCATTAAATGTATATTTATCGCGTTTTGGTGGCTTTTTCGCGGTTTGTTTATCACGTACGCGCATTGTATATTGAAACCGATCGGCTGTTGTGTTGGCTTACCTGTCTCTCAGCGTGAGCCTCGGTGTCGCTGTGGAGGAAGAAGGGGAGGGTTGAACGATAGCCAGCACTGCGCCGTCGGTCCTGGGCTCCAGTCCCCGCAGAGATGGTCCTTCCCCCCCGCCTCCATCTCACTCGCCGTCTCCCTCCACTCAGCGCGCAGCAGCTCTTCTCTCTCCATCCAACCATTTCGCTACGCCGAGACCTCCACATTTTTTCCGATCTCTCAGTTTGAATACAACCGAGGGCGATTATTTTTACCCCCGCAGGCCGACCCCGTCACATCTGCAGCGAAGTTTGAACCCACCGAATACTTTATCGGGTCACCGAGAGTGCAATGAAAGCCAACGTTTTACAGGTGATTGTAAAATTCATGCAACTCAATCAACTCACGTTTTTCCCTCAGATTTTTTTTATATCAACTTAAAACCGAAACTTCACAAATTTTACTTAGAAATGCCAGATTTCCACTTAAAATATAAATATTAAAGTGGTCTATAAAGCAGAAACCGCGCTGTTTCTCGCTGCTCCTAACCTCTTTTTTGTATATTGTAAGCGGCTGTTTGACAGCTTCATTTTGGTACAGCATGTTTTGCTTTTCAACTCCACCTTGTGTGTTTGTGGGCGGAACCCCCGGCCATCCAATCCAGGCAGTCCGATTCAGGGAAAACAAATGACTTTCAGGCCCTCGGCCTTGTTAAACCGTGTTGCGTTCCCATGGTGTAGGAAAAATGGGTATCTTTGCATGTTCAGACAAATGAAGACATGCTTGAATGAATAAGTCACATAGAGCTGATCTTAACTTTACGAAATGTCACATTTACCTATAGAAAACAAACAAAACTCATTGTAAAGAGGCAGGGGACTTAGCAGTGTGTAATGAAAGTTTTTAAAAATGTAAGACTCAGAACCAAGGGCGTAGATTTGGTTTTGGCATTGGTGGGGACGGATGATTCAACCACTGAACCCTACCCTGTTTCTTTTTTCCTTTTTGTCTTTGCTTCTTGATTTAAAAAAAGGAGAAATATACTTGCCTACATATGCTATTCTGCATGCTTTTAAACCATTTAAAATTACAGTTCATAGTTTTATATGTGAATAATATAATACTAAATTACTATTAAACAAATGACTAAGTATTTTAGGCTTTAGTTTACTTCAGCCATATTCCATATAAATCAGGTATCATACAAACATAAAAATAGCTTCAAATACAGTCATGACAATAAAAGAATATGACTTTAAGGACTTAACAACATTAGTTCAGTTGTAGTACACCAACATCTCTAACACATTAGCACTAAGGGAACACTGAATGACCTGGTGGTTTTTGTCCATAAAACTACTCATCTAAGATTACCACAAAAGATCTCTCAGCAAAATTATGCAACATTTTAGGCACAATATTGCCCCTATCAAATCAGTGAGCTGGGATTTTTTTAATTCTAAACATGAACTACTGTTACAGCAACAGACATGGACTACTGGTGCCCCACACAACAACTCAATGTGGACTACGTGAAGGAGCCAAACACATGGCTTCTCCTCTCGTTAACTGAGATAAACTGCTGGCATATTTGTTTTACATCTATACTGTCCAGTCTCTCCTGGTGGACCTTAGCCATCTTTTTAGTCTTCTGAGAGCACTGAAGCTTCTTTCAGCCTCAGTACATGTGTTTTATCCTCAGATCCTCAAATTATTATTGTGTGCTTGATGTGCCTCACCTTTGGCCCTGGCTCTTCCCCTCTGACTGCACTAGGACATATTGCTACCTGATAAAATAACACATGGATTCGTGCCATATAAAAAGTGAGACATGTCAATTCAGATTCTTTGTCAAATATACACTAATGAATCAATTTACATCAGCAGCCTAACAATTGTCATGATAATAAATACTAGTTAATCTATAGCACCAAATCATCAGTCAGTCACCTGTGACCTCGCCTCTTCACCTCTGTCCGAGCTACAACATGGCAGAGCTGCCTCCGTCACCTGATGAATAACAGTGAGACATTCCAAATACATGCAGTCACACATGTGCTTCAAATACAGTAATGAACCACCAAGTCATCATCCAATTTCACCTGTGATTCTTGTATCACCATTACTCTATCACCTGACAAATAGGACATGCATGACAATAAGAATAAAATGGGGAGCTGCTTCAGTGTTTCTGTCAATTTGTGCAGATCTTGACTCATCAGTAATGTTTGTAGGGTGAGTGCATTTTTAAAACACTTTGTGCAAACTGCACTCCAAGGTGGAATATTTGCAAAATCACGACTACCTCATGATATTTTGTCTCAAAAATTAACCCTATGAATATGTCAGTGCCATTAGGGAGAAATTATTGTGTCACCAACATTTTAATGTTACACATAAAAATTTTACAGCCTCTGTAAACTAGTATCCTGGCTTGCTCGAGGCTGCCGTTTTCTCTGACAGCTTCAATCAAAATTAGAAATGCTACTCTGGGAGACTGAGATAACTAATAGTGCTGCCTGTTGTGCAGTTAGTTTCCGAAATACTTTTTTATATCCAGGTTCTTCCTTTTTGCTGCCATCCTCCTCGCCTCCTTGCAGGTCCTCGCAGTGCAGGCTTGCAGCTGCTAAAACTAAACAGAGCTCCCTGAAAGGCGCAGCCAATCACATTGGCCATATTTGTCACATGAGGTATGACTCCAGTAGAGAACGTAATTTAACTCTTTCTGCACCGCTGGGTGAATGAGACGTTGACGGATCGTTTTTTTCTTTTTATCGGGTTTGTTTTTCTTTACTCGAAGAGATTAAATTATTGGTGGGGACAATTGAATAATTGGTGGGGACATGTCCCTTCCGTCCATGCCAAATCTACGCCCTTGCTCAGAACAAGCAATTTACCCCTTTCCTGCCGTGATCATTTTCCCCAAAGGATTTTAACTATTTGTGTCGCAGTTCAGTTTGCCTCAAAGCAGTTGCACTATTTAAGGAATAGGAAAATCCAACTATGTTTGTCCTGACTGAATATTAGTAACATTATTAAAAAGTGACATCATGACATAAAAAATACATAACAAAGGGCATATTTTACAACTTCACGGTTTTGTATGTTGTGTATCTATATATTATGTGACATGTCATTCAGCTAAACATGTTTTACTAGTCTGAGAAAGAAAACAGTATTCCGTTTAATGATCCCCTCTGTGTTATTATCATAGTTTAGGCTAATAATAAGTAAGAATAGGCCCCTTGTCTTCCAGAGCAGCAGGACTTTGAAGTTTCCTGATATCATTGAAGGCAGCATGAAGCTGAGTGGCAGACATGCTCCTCACGCCGTCTCCTCTTTCTTGCAGGGTAAAAATAATGACAAACTGTTGACATGTGATGTGACATATTGTGTTACTTAATGCGTTAATGAAAACATGCGTTTTAAGGTTGTCTTTATTTTTTAATAAAATTAAATCCAAAGCATGTACAGTGTTTTGCACACAAATGTGATGGGCAACATAAAATGCACGACAAGGAAAATGTATACAGAGTTTTACCTGATTATGTCATCAGTGTAACAATCAATACAAACAATAAGATCTCAGCTTCAACTATCTACCTGCACTGCACATCTCATTTAAAATCACAAAGCATTTAAACACTTACACACAAGCAGTGCATTTATATTCTATATAGGCCAACTGAACAAAAAAAGTCTAAACTGTTGCATAAAGAATACACAAAGTAAATGGGAAAACTTCAGAAACAACTTCACACTTTTCTGAATAATCTGATACACTATGGACAAAAGGCACATTATAGTCTCACAAAATTAATTATTTTGTGCGCATCTGAAGAGCTGACATCAGCTTTCCTTAGCTTAAAGTAAGGTGAAATTACATTATTATAACATAGGCAGAACTACAATTTAACTGCATTGTTGTAATATTAAAGCCATGCTGTAATTGAGCACTAAAAGAAAATAACACTATTATATATAAATGGATCTATCTAACATCTCAGGGGAAAATATCTCTTATTTTCAAAATTCATTCATTCATTTTTCCCTGAGAGAAAATGCCACTCTGTATCTAAGTACATAAACAGCCACTTATACCGTAAAAAACATTTTTGAAATCCTAAAACCTCAAAATATTAATTAGTAATACCTGATAGGTCTTGATGATGAAATTGAATACATTTTGGTTGTCTGTTATGGTTGCAAACACAAATTTAGATGCAGAAGTCATATATTAATAAATGTCAGGTAATGCCCTTTAAAGACAAACAATAATGGAACAGTTTGAATCTGCAAAGAAGTGGCATCACTAAATAAAATGTGACTATGAACGGTATGGTGATGTTTGTGGCAGTATGGATCCATCCTACTCATCCTCCTCAAATGTCACTTTGGCGTCATCAGCGTCCAGCTGCAACACATGCAGATCAGGTTACAACAAGGAAAAGTACATATGAAATGACACGAAGAGCTACATCTGAAAAATATAGATAAGCACTTACACATTTCATTTCCATGGCAGAGAAGAGCCTGCCAGTCATGAACATGCGCAGAGGAACGGTAAGAATGAGAACAAAAGGCAGAGCCAGAGAGAAGCTGCTCATCTTCACCGCCCAAAGTACACCCAGGCACACGAGCTGGATCAGAGTGAACAGATGCATTCGCATGGTACTCACCTGTACAAATGACAAAAATAAGAGTGAGAAATGCACTAATTGACAAGCTATATGGTAATTATTA